TTCTTCTTTATCTCTAGTCTGACCTAAGCTTTTTTTAGTTTAAGCCCTTCACCCCCTGTCCTATTGTGACAGGCCCGACTGAACCCTTTGCCCACATGTTTCTATGAAGCTGCCTTGAAGTCCTGGAAGGCCCCAAGGAGGTCTCCCCACAGCCTTTTCTTCTGCAGGCTGAAGAGCCCCCACTCTCAGCCTGTCTCCATCCGAGAGGTGCTGCAGCCCTCTGATCCCCTGGGTGGCCTCCTCTGGAAGTGCCCCAAGAGGTCCGTGTCTTTGCTGTGCTGAGGAGCCCATGGAGCTGCAGGAGATGCCAGGGCTGGCAGGGGAATCCCCCCAAGCCATTGCCATTGCGGGTGGGTGCGTTGCAGACAGCCAGAGGAGCCCAGAGCTGGAGGCAGCACTGCAGGAGGGGTCTCAGCTGAGCAGAGCAGAGGGGCAGAACCCCCCTCCCCTGCTGCCCACGCTGTGGGATGAGCCCAGGACACGGGGGGTTGTGGGCTGTGAGCTCCCACTGCTGGCTCACATCCTGCTTTTCATCCCCCACTATCCCCATGGCCTTGCATGCAGGGCTGCTCTCCATCTCTTCAGCCCCGAGCCTGTCCCTTGAGATCTGGGGGCATTTGACACCCACTGGCCCCTTTGATCCTCTTTCCATCCCTCCCAGAGCACAGGGGAGGTCCAGGGGCTCCAGGAACTGCCCTGTGTGCCCCTTGCCTGTCCCAGCCCCCAGCAGAGACATTCCAGGATGTCCCAACCTGCACTGCTCAGGATGCACATGGAGGGGGTGAAGGGGATCTCGTGTGCAGAGACCCCCAGGAGCCCCCTGAGCCTCTCTGCTCATGGCAGGGGTGCAGCCAGAGAGGCACTGGGTGTGCAGGGGCTGGAGAAGGGAGGGGACATGGACACGGGAATGCAGGCACAGAGATGGGAACACACCCATGGAGATGGGAACACACACACGGAGATGGGAACACACACACGGAGATGGGAACACACCCATGGAGATGGAAACACACCCATGGAGATGGGAACACACACATGGAGATGGGAACACACACGTGGAGATGGAAACACACCCATGGAGATGGGAACACACACACGGAGATGGGAACACACACACACACATGGAGATGGAAACACACCCATGGAGATGGGAACACACACGTGGAGATGGGAACACACACATGGAGATGGGAACACACACACATGGAGATGGGAACACACACACAGAGATGGGAACACACCCATGGAGATGGGAACACACACATGAAGTTGGGAACACACACACACAAAATCAAGCAGAGTAGCTTTGCTGAAGGGATTTATTGATCATTCAGGGGAAATGGCCCTGGGCTCTGAGGGAAATCAGGGGGTTCTTCCAGGGATGATCATCTCCTCATGCCGCTGGAGGGGGACAGGGCACGGGTGTCACCACCAGTCCTGAAAGACAGAGCCCAAATTGTCACCCCCAAAGTCCACTGCAACACGAGAGGGGCCTTGTCCTGACCCCTCTCCCTGCAGGCACTGCTCACCTCAGACAGCCACGGATGCAGCTGTCAGTGTAGAGTTGTGACGGCCGATAAACATACAAGGAGTCAGTTGTGTGCAGGAAAGATCTCTCCTTCCTCTTTATTTTCTCATCTGCTTTTTTATACCCCTTGCTAGCAGCAAGCAGTGTCCTTATTTTAGGTAAGCAAGCAGCAGCCATTTCATTGGCTGGGTTCTATGGGCGATACATTTGGCAAAGCTCAAGGACCCTCCCAAGCCTCCAAAAATTAAAGGGAACCCTCCCGATCCCCCCAAAATTAAGGGGACCCTCCTGAGCTCCCAAAAATTAAAGGGATCCTCCTGACCCTCCCCAAAATTAAGGGGATCCTCCCCCTGGGTCCCCCAAACTCACCCTTCCCGGTTTTTGGGGCTCCTGCGGCTCTTCCCGGGTTATTATGGGATCCTGGGCCACGCCCCCTCCCCAGGTGGGTGTGGCCAGGGGGAGATCCCAGATAAGATCTTTGGGAAGGAGGGGAAGGGGGAGATTTATTGGGATTTAATGGAATTTATAGGGATTTATTGGGATTTACTGGGATTTAATGGGATTTACTTGGATTTAAAGGGATTTACTTGGATTTACGGGCATTTACTGGGATTTAATGGGATTTATTGGGATTTAATGGGATTTACTGGGATTTATTGGGGTTTAATGGGATTTATTGGGATTTCATGGGATTTACTGGGATTTTTCCCCATTTTCCCTGATTTCCCCCCCTTTTTTTCCTCTTTCTTTTCCCATTTTCTCCCTAATTTCTCCCATTTTCTCCCATTTTCCCTCCCCATTTTTCTCAATTTCCCATGATTTTCCCTTATTTTCTCCCCATTTTCCCTCCCATTTTTCACAGATTGTCCCTCCTATTTTCCCCTCCTTATTTTTCCCATTTCCCATTTTTCCTGAATTTTCCCCACATTTTCCCTCCCAATTTATCCCATTTCACCTGCCCCATTTTCCCCTGATTTTCCTTGATTTTCCCCCCATTTTGCCCTCCCTATTTTTCCCATTTCCCCCCATTTTTCCTGATTTTTCCCCACATTTTTCCTCCCAATTTTTCCCATTTCCCCTCTCACATTTCCCTGATTTTCCCTGATTTCCCCCCCATTTTCCCCCAATTTTCCCTGATTTCCCCCCATTTTCCCATTTCCTCCTCATTTTCCCAGATTTCCCCCCATTTTTCTCCCCATTTTTCCCATCTTCTCCCTGATTTTCCCCCCATCTTCCCTCCCCATTTCCCCCATTTTCTCCAATTTTTTTCCCATTTTCCCTGATTTCCCCCCATTTTTCCCCTTTTCCCCACTCCCTCTTTCCCCCCTCCCCTCCCCCATTCCCGGTCCTGCTCTGCGCCCATGTTAATTTGGGATCATTTGGGATCATTTGGGATCATTTGGGATAATTGAGGAGCTTTTGTTCCCAAAACAATGGGGGGGGGGGGGGGGGGGGGGGGGGGGGGGCCCAAAAAGGGGGGGG